CTTTAATTCTGAATAAAGGTGGCATCGACTTGCCAGCCTAAAGTCTTTTTTCATTACCAGCCACCTTTTCCTCCATTTATCGTGAAAACATGCCTTGAATGCACCCTATCCCCATAAAGTGATAACACCTAGGTTAGACGGCTAATGGGTTAAATATAGACCAACACGCCCAGACGTCAGCCAATCAGCATGGGCAACCAAGTTGAAGCTTACGTGTTGCTGCAAGGGCGAGGGAGACCCTGCCCGAACCAGCGGTCACGTTTACACCACGCGCTGCCACTGGACTGCACGCCGATGTGTGCGTGTCAGTTCAACCCCGGAGCGAGGAATCCCACCGAACCACCCACTGATTCCTCAATTGGGTCCCAAGTCAGGCGAAATGATGGTTGTGGTTTTTGATGGGTGGTAAGTAGTTGCACTTTGTAACTCCTGGGAGGCAGTAATGCATAATAACAAGGCAGATTCTGCAAGTAAAAGTCAATGTACAGTGCTGCAGTTGTGTGTAGGCTCAAGGATCTGGGACGTATCTCTACGACGTCACATACTACTGAAATGGTGTCCCAGGGAATCCGTCCAACAACTTTAAGAGCAGCAGTTAAAACTAAAACGAATTATCGATGATCAGGAAGAAGTAAATGACCAATGCTTTCATTAATTAAGTATTCCGCAATGAAGCCTGTGATCTCTGAAGTACTACTGAAACCATCCATATTAGTTACCGGATTGGTGACTTAAAGCCGTGGTATTTTCTGCCTTCAGTCTAGAAATAATCGGAAATTTTAGCTCATTTTATTATTTTAATGCTTCGATTGTTTGTTTAATCCTTCGTTTTGGTTTCGCGGGCACTTGGTCTTCTGCCTTTGTGCTTCCACTGGGCAGCAAGGTCGCCGGGCGGCCCTCTACACCGGCAATGCACTTTCTGGCCTAGTATTACATCTTCTTTTGTCTTCAGGAAAGACTCGAGAAGCGTTGCCATAAATACCAAATATTTAGTATTGAGAATGAATTCAAAAATCATTTCTTTTGCCCAGGGACGATCTACAGTTCGGAAAAAGAAACGAACGCTAACAATCTGGCAAATGACTTCTTAGAATTGATGTTTATATTTGCAATTCGTGGAAAATATAATTTGTCCTTGACTTCTAATGCGAATTGGAGTTTTCAACTAGAATACCCACTTGTCCAGTAGATGGAATGCTGAAGGCAAGGCAACATGCCCATGCTACGATTGGTTGATGAGTTGATATACGTGGGGGCCGATTAATTTTGAGGCTAACTGCCAAATGAAAAAGGCACCTTTCGCACTTACACGCCTTCTTGCATTAAATTAGTTATGTGTGATCGGAACGGAAGAGGCGAGAGAGGGCAGCAACACCTCACGGTAGCATTCTAAAACTAGACGAGAGCCGCAGCGCTGACTCACTCCAATTAAAAATGACTAACTCGTAATTACCGCTCTCTGTTCTACCACTGTGACATGACATGGCAACAATCCATTTTTAGCCTTTATTATAAGGCCATGTCACTTAATCAACATCGACTGAAATTTGTCAAGTTGCACGGTTAAAACAACTTGACAACTGACATATTTGAAATTGGCCAAATCATCTTACTTAAATATTGTCAGAGGATTCACAAAAAAATTACTTGTGAATGCATTGCCAAAATTTTCTGCTGCCAAAAGACGTTCATAATATTGTTTTTTTCCAAAAAATCGATTTTCCAATGCTCCCCTCAGCTGAGCAGCAGTCATCGATTTTCTTCAAAGCGATCGATACCCCCCTAAAACATAGGCGCGTCTTTCAAGCGCCCATTCAGTCAGGCTTCCGCATGGAGGGCTTGATGACTTGGCCAGTGTGGCTAATTTTTTGTCAAGGTCAGAAGAAACCCTTTACATTTACCAATTATTTGTGTGCTCAAATAATATGAAGATTTCCCTTTAAAGGAGATTTTGGGGACTAAGTGGTTTTTTGGTATTATAAGGCTACAAAAATTAGCACCAAGGCACTTCCGCATGCACACATACACATCCATTCATCCAGTCATCGTCTGCAATCCTATTTTCATTCGGTCAACCGCCTGCAATTCCACGTTCTCTCCCACAGACGCTGCCCGCACAACATAGACCATATTTGGCTTCTGATGTGCGTGCAATCGATGGCCGAGTGCGTTGTCTGATTGGCCAGCCAAGTGTCCAAGCGCGCACGTGCCGCGGTGTGCAGGCGTGGTGGTGATGTAACCGTGTGGGGAGGAGCCGTAGCGGACTTCAAACAGCCACGACTTTTGAAGTAACCCCAAGGCCAGAAGAAAATAACTTTATTGGTATTTTGGAGAAACAGTTTGTGTGATTTGGCTGATTGTGGTAAAATTCACTTTTAAGTGTTTTAACTAGAGAAATTAGCCATCTTGAGGAGCTGTAAATTGAGGGAGGAATAATCTACTAGATCCTGTGAAAAGTGGAGACAAAGAAATGATTTCTGTGGCCATAGAGCGGTACGGTTTTAACCATCAAAAGTGATAACTTGGGCAGTCTAGTATGCTGTAATTTGTACTGCGCATTTAATATAGTACTCATAAGGAGGTTTAATCATGCTACTTGGTATTTTATAGTAGATTAATGAAAACTGAAATAATATTTAACCGTCGAAATTAGCAAAGTCGGAGGGAAAGGATTTGCAAAATTCGGAAAATAAATAAAGTAGCTGAATCAACGGAATCAATTAGGGCGTTGGTAAAAGTAGGTCTACCGGAATTCTATAGTCAAATTTATAGCACTGTTAATGACGGACGTTTAACAAAGAATAGTTAAAAATGAATGCAAAAAATGGGAATTTATATTTAAATACGTGAGTTATCCAGAGGTCGAGAGCTATACATCCGAAGCACTTTGAGGCCCTTTCTAAAGTCGTCAAAGTCATTAAAAAACGTACACGTCACTGGAATACACAATAAGTGAAAATCTAGTAAAAAGACTAGATGGCCAAGCAGCAAAGTTAAATAAGGTAATCGAATGCTACGATACTGCTACAAATAACTTTTGGTAATAGCGCTGTGCAAAAAAGCCTTAACAAAGATAAAGGTGACAACAGAAATAAGAGGAATTTACCGATTTTCCTTATAACATAAGAACTGCAGGAAGGAAATAATTAACAAAATTGCAGCAGAGATTTGCCCAAATGCCACACTTAAGCAGTTAACGAGCCGATTAGAGCAAGTGGGAGACAAAGGCTATTTACCCACAAAGCATTAATGTAATATGATGGTGGTTTATCCCTCGGTATTAGTGAGGTGCCACTTTTTAACTTTTCAATATGCCTTCTTGTACCACGCCGAGTGGGCTGGTCTTTAGGCCATTCCAAAAGCCCAAACACCTTCTCTGCGCTGAATATATATTCTGCCCGAGTATTGTATCTTCATTCGTCTTCAGGGAAAACTCGGGACGCTAAATTAATAGTTTGGATAATCCTACATTTCAACAACGTAAGATATTTTTCCCTAGCAGATTTACCCTATGAAAAAATCTTAGCCAAAACCAAAACCATATATAGATAAAAATTAAACATGCGTAGAATATGGAAAACCGTGTAGTTCGGCGATTTAGTACAGTCGGAATTTAGTTTAGTTGCAAAAATCCGAACTTCAAAAGTGTTAAAAACAACCTAAAGCTAAATTAGAATTAAACTAAGTTGATTTACAATTGTGTAGAACACAGCAAAATTGTTTAACACCATCATCATGCGAGACTTAACCTTGACCAGCGCAGAATAAGGAACTTGCCTTCTTGCGGCCATCGGGAGAGCTGTATACGCATGACTAATTCTCAGAAATCCCTTTAGTTTTACGTTATTTTTGCATTAACTTTAAGTATTATTTCACAAAATTCAGATCACTTTACCTGATCCTGCAAGTGTGCTGAGTTTAACTGTTGTGGACTGCTCCAGATCTACAGAGATGCGGACCATGGATGAAAATGAAGTTTTAAGATATTTCTGCGATCAAGTAAGTTGCAGTTTAGTTGCCATTAGGAAAATGAACTAAAGGGATAGCAAAATCTCAAAAGTATTCTCTCTCATCCCCAGTCATTCAAGAAACTTTGAGAAGCTGGGTGACGGCGCACTTTGCGAGGCATTCGGTTGTTAACGCAAAAATGTACTTCTCAGGGTGATTCCAGCTTGTACAATAACTTGTCTGAGACAAATGTGATAAAAGCCCTCAAGCACTGCCTGACTTCGTTGCCGCCTGCCAAGTGTCTATACTTGCCAAGGCGCACGGGTCCGATTGCAGCACGAGCAACTTTGGGAGCACGACCCGTGTCCACGTTGTGCAGGAATATGCACCTACTTGTATTAGAAGGGCTCGGCACAAATACATTTTCTATGATTGTAAAATTGTTTTATAAACATTCGAAGGGTGTCTTTTATGATGCTTTGGCAATTGTTACTTCTAGATGGTTATTTTTACATGAGGGTTCAAAGTTTTATCCACCAAAAATTGATTTGTTTTTCCACCGGTAGACATCAGACTGATGTAACAATGTTTAAACATTAGCACGCATTTGTCTGCCTATTAAAATGGGGGACTGCCTTGAAAAGTGGCGCTACATTTTGCACAAGAAAAGGCGCTAAAGGGATGAAAATCTTGGCCAATTTTTAGTTAGGGGCTACGATTTGCCTTTTAACGTAGACTAAAGTTTTACTTGGTGACATTTATCCTATTTTATTTCCAGACGCTGAGCCCTCCTGGACACAGCTGCGGGCTGTAATGGAGTGTGAGCTGTGTGGGCCTCCGGTTTATCGCATCATCGCATGTTGCACACCTGTCGCCATCCTTATTCCACTCTTTTCTTTAGGTAGTTTGCACATTATCCTTCCTTTTTTCGTAGCATCCTTGTGCACAAACATGATTGCTTATCCCTACTTAGGACGCTCTTGCGTTGGCTGTTGGCGGGAGGCAGCTGAAGTTTGAACATCGAAATCTCCATCTAAGCAACATCCTAATAGATGCGGTGGGCAAGTGGAAGGATTGTTGCATCCAAGTGTCACCCACTTCTCGTCTCGACGGTCGAGTCTACCAACCTTATCATGAACCCATCGTCAAGACTTTGGATTTTACATTCTCTCACCTGCGATTTGGTGCGTTGTATCTTTCCTCTCTTCCATCCCTGCTGTCTACTTTAGTGTGACAATATTGAGAACGTTAAAAGGTAGAAAAGGATGGATATAGCTTTGTTCCCTCACAGTTTTGTTCAAACACAATGATTTATGTTGATTGTCTGCCCCATTCCCTGACAGTTATGAACTCAGGAGATAGTAGAATGAGGCATTCGGCATGCTAAAATTACCTCTTGAAAGCTGACGAAACGACCTTTGTGATAAACTGCTCTTGCCTGATGACTTTTTTCATTCTTATCTCTAGAGGATTCCACAACTTTTTTTGATTGCAATACCTTACTCGACCTCTTTATAGAGAACGATAATCTCTAACGTAAAACATTTCAGAAATTGCGGAAAGAGACCGAGTGATTGATACACCCTTCGTATCTATTAATATGAAGAAATTGAGAAAGGGAGGGGATGACTTTATTTACTACCATATTTCTCATTTTTTTTCCATAGTGGAGACTGGTCACTCTACCGTCCGCGCAACAACGTCTTCTGGCTGGAGTTCCCAGCAGAGGCGCACTTGGTGAGGCATTAAAGTGGATCCGCGTCCAAGCCATTGTGACGAATACCATGACGGTGTCAGCGAAGACTCCAAAAGTCAGGCAGGAGGAAATACTGAGCTTATCGGCAGAACCAATGTCCGCGGTGGATTTCATCAGACTGGCGGAGAAGCGTGCTCCTTACCTCTTTCATCCAAAAAATTACCAAAGAGGCTGTCAAACTAGATGACGGGTGTGAGGAGAAAGACTGCCTTGCTGATCAGAAATAGGTAGTTGCTATCCTTCGGGTCGTTAGAAAACTCTCAATGCTATCATTATCTTTCTATCTGGTTTCTTTTTTATGTGTGGATGCTAGACCTCTGAAACCTTTGAACATTTAACACTGGTAAATAAACGATATCTCCAAAACTCAGTCGTTTACGGGGAATCATGACTAAGTCGTGAGTCCAGACGTTAGCCTCGATAAGCTACCTCATCGTTATCAGGGTCCAGCTGCATCTTTATCGAACTCGGACACCCGACCGGGCAACGTGATCCCTTGGCACATCACTAAACCGCTAACGCTGCGGCTGTAGTCAGGTAATAAGACGAGGCGATAGCATGAATCTGTCTGGTCGCTGTTCACTCAGCTTTTCGACAAGATGGACACGGTCACGACGTCTAACTACGACGATCCACTAAGCTGACTTGCACGAAAAAGCCTTGACATGGCTCTACACTGAATGGTTTAAAGATATCTTCCCCTCAGGCAGGCACTACCAGGTCGGATAAGAGGCTGATTACTTTGAATGGAAAATAGGTTCCTTTTAGAGAATTGTTAACTGAACTGGGGCACCCGTTTTATCCAGCCTATGCTCCATCTTATGGTCATAGGACATTAGACAGGAGAAATCCATCAAACGTGAACCTCTTCATCGATACACCGTGTTTTCTCTTTCAAAAAGCGCTGTGTATTGACAACGCATGTAAGCTAGTCAACCAAACACCGATGCTAGCGACTTCTGCCCATTTCTACACCACGCAACTATGATCCCCACTCTCATAAATGATTTTTACAATTTCACCAGTACCAAGGCCGAAATAACTTGTGATCCCGGGGAAATAGTTAATCGTCCATCTAATGCGGCTGCCCAAATGGTACCAGTATATCGTGAACATATGAAACAATAGGTCGCCACCACGTCCGATTGTCACTCACGGAGTGCACTGATTGAAGACCCGGGACATTCGTCTTGAATCGGATACAAACTCCCCCTCCCCCTGATCCAGTCAATAGTCAAAGTGTATTTACGGCCTGGATACATACGCGGACTTACTAACTAAGGTAAACTCTACCGGCTGACATGTCAATTCGTGGTACAGCCACTCATCAAGAGAGGACTAAGGATGAGCGCAATAGAGCATGGACGACTACTCTTCATTTCTCCTCCATCTCCTTGGGCAACCTAAATTGCCGATCTTTAGGCCTATTTGACCAAACAAATGCATTCATTGCGAAATAATAGCATACCATGCGGTCAACGTCAAATATTTATCCCCTTGCCACAGTAACTACTATTTGACAGTTGAAGGCTTTCTACAATAAAGCGATTAAAGGATTCAATTACAAACTACCTGATCAATTACCCATTTAACGATTCCAAATAAATTAATACTCAATATCACTGATACAGATGACCATACGTCAAACGGCAACTTCGAGAAGAACAACGAGGACGTCATTAATTTCAACAAGGTAGGGGTTTAACGCGGCTCACATGTAGTTATCGGACTTAATCGGTGTCCAAAAAAAGAGCTTGGGGTTTACCTTTGAATCTAGTTTTATTCGTACAAAATTAAATGCAATAAGCCCACATAATCACTCACAGAAAACACTACTGAAAGTTGGTACCGGTAAGTTAGGCTCGAATTATTGACAAATCAAAAGCAAATTTCAATCCTTCATTTTCAAGAATAAAGGTTTTTACCGAAGTCAAGACAGTCACGCTTGAGATTTTCAGAAGCAATAAGGAGCTGTGGATAATTTTGTACCACGCAACTAATAAGTAATAAAACTTCAGATTTGGGTAAAATGTGATGTCGAAGGGGCGCGAAAACACGAAGAGCGATAAAAACGCAGCAACCATGGCCACAATTAATACATTTTTCAATAAAACAACTTCATTAACATGAGACAAAACAAACACAACTTACTTACAAAAGTCAATATTTATTCACAGTTTTTTTTTCAGATGCATCAAGGAAAATAGTCAATCCTCTTGCCCTTGACCCACTTCTTTTTGCCTCTAAGAGCCCGTAGACGATCCATTTCATCTCTGAAGTCGGCATGCTCATCTCGGAAAAGACCAACCTGACGCAAGGTGGCAAGGATTTCAGAATATTCTTCAAGAGGGGGATACCAATCTCGGATTTTTATTGCTTCAGGCAGTTCGCTCATCACTCGAACAACTTTTGGAGGAGGGTAGGCGGATGAAGTATCTCCGAAGATTCTACTTGCTAATAATGCTATTCGTTTCGAATACACCGTCCCTCTGGAAGCCATCCTAAAAATGCAAGTAATATATGTGGGACAAATATTCCGGCACAATAAACTTGGAGATTGATTTTACGAAAAACACGAACTACCAAAACACAAGGCGTAAACACAGAAACAACTCGCACACCTATTTATAAAATGACGGGAATAAAGTATCGATTAAAATCTTTCATTATTTTGAAATTTGATCGGCACTTTAACCCGTTTAAAACGCCCTAACTGCCTTGAAAAGGTTTTTTTAATCACATTTTTTTGAAAGTTAGGCATTTGCATTATTAGCAAGTAAATGCTACTGGTTTGTTATTATTTTAGAAAACAAACCAATATTGTTAGGTGCGTACCGTTTCATCCTACAAGCAGTGCATTTTTTTGGCTACGTAGCACCAAAATCTGAAACATGGTTCTAAACTGTCGACTGTTTGATATTAAAATATCCCAATGAAAAAATTTGTCATGGAGGACAAATAAATCCAAAGGCTTTAAAAGGTACATTTTGCTATTTTTGCAATATTAAAGTGATGTATGCATGGCACAGGTCACTTTTTTTCCTGGTGATCATTTTACGCACCTGAAATAAACTTATGTTCCAAACTCGAAGATGCTTCAGCATGTATCGTGACAAGCGGACTTCTAGTGCACTATTAGGGTTTTGAGTTTGTATATAAACTATCCAATCAGTGACTCTTTGATTCCTATATTTTCTTCAGGAACAAGCGGACAAATAAGACAGAGCCCCCCTCTGTGGTGATTTTGATTTGATCTAATGGAAAGATCACCAACCGTTAAGCACCTCGGTTACTTGCAAAATTTTTGAATATTTTAAATACTCTTCTATTTGAAATAATTAAGGGAGGTGGGCAAAATTTAGTCCTGCCAATTTGTTTGAATTTGTGGTCTTGCGGGGCACTTTGTTTCGAGGGTTTGCTCATGCTTTTCTAATTTCTCTCTTTAGTTTACTGATGGTTCACTATACCAGATTCGTTGAACGTGGCCGTGTTGTGTTTATAACTCACGGAGCTTACGCTAGGAAAATTGCCGTTATTGTGGACATTATCGACCAGAATCGCGTCCTTATCGATGGACCTTGTTCGGGTGTTCCTCGCCGTCCCGTCAATATTAAAAGGCTTCATTTAACAAAGTTTGTTATGAAGATTCCAGTGAACTGTGGCACTCTTGGGGTCGAGGATAATTGGCGCAGGCAGAAGATTGGTGAGCTTTGGAAGAAGTCGATGTGGGCTCGCAAGCTGGAGAAAAAGCGTATCCGTGCGGGCCTCACTGACTTTCAAAGGTTCCAAGTCATGGTAGCGAGAAAAACGGTATGCCTCCGTACCTTTTTAACATTGTGTTCTGCGATAGCATGGAGACTCGTTTCCTTTGTCTTAATCTTCTTCAAGTTGACTATTTTAACTGATTTCTTCTATCTTTTCTCATATAGCGAAATAGAATCATTAGCAATTATCGCATGAGGAAGACAACACTCCAGATGATCAAGAACATGCGACCAAAGAAGAAAACTGCGTAATCCGCAATTTTGCAATAAAGTACATCTTTGTGAATGGTTTCCTGTGGTTTTGTTGAGATGGTTGGCCTAGAATGACTGCTGTTTAACCGTTATGTCTACTGTTGCTGGAAGTTCCAAAGTTGGCCCCTCGGTCACTACGTGCTGGTGAATACCTTACCAAGCCTTTAATCACCCCAATTATTATGCTGCTCGTTGATTAAGAGTACAGCGTCCTTTGACATTTTTGGCATTTGGTTATGGTCAGTAGATGTTGATCGCTTGTGGTCTGGTGCCTTTGGCGGTGGTGGGATTTGCCCTTGAATATCAGCAAGTAAATTACCTCAGTGGTTATTTATTTTAAGCTACTAGAAGTGCGTTGGTTACATCAAGGAGTCGTATTCGGTCGTTTCTCGAGACATCCAATCTTCTATCTCTTCCACTGTCCGTGGGACGTCGGAGAGTACCTCACATCCTTCGTCCGTTATCAGTACGTCTTCCTCAATCCTGACCTAAACGATATGTGTGGGTTGGCGTTCCATAAAATTAAATTTGCATACCCCACCGAAGCTGGCGAATCGTTCGATCTCTTCAAGGACCAGAAATCGTCTGAGCTCTGGCGTAGACTTGGCTTGGTCGATCAGCTCCTTTATGAAGTAACAGCCTGGTTCAACAGTCAGTACCATGTTGGGCATGAGGCGTCGTGCGGTACGCAGGTTCCTGAGACCTGGTTCTGTCGGTCTCGGGGGTGCACCCTTTTAAATTAAATAATGGTAAATTGATAACATTAGCTTGTTGTTACGCACAAAATGCAGGTAATTCTATGAGCAAGGCTTTGTGTCCCTAAACTATGCGGTTGTGTAGTTATGCTCACCTTGTTGTATCCTCCGACATCATGAACATCGCAGCCGATGAGGTGGCCCAAGCCGCGTGGCGTAAAGGTGGCACCGAGGTGGGCGGACATCATGGCCTCAATGTCGCCTTGCAACAAACCACCCGCTTTTAGATGTTCCAGGAGTGTCCGTTCGGCCAATTTGTGCATCTCTATCCAACTTACACCGGGCTGAAGATGGCTTATGACTACTCTAGAAACAACAGACAGAATATTTACAGCAGCATCATTCGACTAAGGTGCTAGTCATTCTTGACTAACCGGACGGCAGCCAAAACAGACTCGTAGATGAATCGCTGGTCAGACGTGAACTTCCCGTTGACAGGGAAGGAGCAGGTTATGTCAGAGCAATAGCAGTAGTACTCTGCACCCATATCAAAGAGGCACATTTCTCCATCGTGGATCTGATTGTCGTTAGGAGAAGTGGGGTAGCCGTAGTAGATGGTGGCCCCGTCACGACCTCTACCAAAAGCCGGTAAGCAAGAGCTTTCATAGGGATAAAAATGTGCAATTAACGTGAGCCATTCTTCATGGAAAGGAATGGACGCGTGACAGACAAGTTCTTGGCGGTTGTTTCGATCTAACTTTGCGTGATTTGCAGAGGCTAAATATTCATGGAGCATATAGTAGTTTGACTGTTATTTATTGCCAAAAACATCGGACCTCTGAGTTCAGTCAAATCAGGAGGCTCGGATGCCACTTTACGCGACCCAATTTTAGTATTGCCTAAAGGATTAGAGGGAGGAGGCACCTACGTGGCAGCAATGCAAGGGTAGGAGAGGTGACGACAGCCGCCGTTGACGTAGCAGTAGTGGCGAAATAGACTCTCCACCTGGAATTGAAACATGCCAGGTTTCACCTTCCGCATAACGTGGCGATGTGCTGCTGAGCTCACTGACACCGCGTAGCGCATCACCTCCAACTCCATTGGGGTCTTAATCAGGCGGCTATAGCAATGCAGTTACTTAGATATATGGTTGATTATTATAAAGTGACAGACGTAGGCCTAGTCGGTAACATCAAAGACACAATGAACTGCAAATCAAGTAAAAATATGGGTGGGGGGGGGGGGTGGAAGAGGGAAACACTTTGACAAGGTGGCCACACACATGCTGAAGTCCCTACTTTGGCCGTATTGAAAGTTCTGTGTACAATCAATTAGTGATGCCTTTAGGATTGAAAGGTTGGATCATGGCAACGTAAAAAATGAGTGAAAGAAATGTACTTGCTGAAAAGGCCGTAGAAGTGCTATTAATTAAAGTGCCCACCAGGTGGTCTTTGGTAGCGAAGTATTTACAAAAGACAAGTCTCAGGGTAAACAGCAATTTGGTAAAACTAGCATTTACTTTTGTTTACACCAGCATAGTAAACATAAGTTCTGCTTTTTGTGAAAGGAAAGACGGCCAAGATAAACTTTTCATGGAAATGTACAAATTTGGAATGCTAAAGCATTGTTAACTGCCAAGTGCAAGACATAAAATGGACTATGAGGAAGAATCCTTAGCAAATATAGAAGTAGGAGAATATCGGGTTCTACTCTATGTTAATTTGACCTACCATTCGGCCATCTCGTGATGGAGAATGCTGTTGTCAGTTTTGAATCTAAAATACACCACACACAAGACTCATTAGAAAAATGGAAAAAGGAAATTGATTTACGAGTGCAATTTTCATATTTGTGTGGCCATATTTAGATAACACCGGGAGGAATAAGTCCTGTTCGATTTTGATGCCTAATTCCCGAGCCTTCAAGATGAATGTGCTCTCGTTCAGTCCATCCTGAATGGTTCGCATTAAACAGAGTTGTTTGATTCGGAAACTAATGACCTAGGTCATCGACATCCACACACGCACGCAGTCTCCAACTCTCTCCACTAGCTAGCCGGCAGACTGTTTCCTAGCAAGCGTTAGCAAACAAAGACGCCTGCTCAGAGGATCAGTTCACGCTTTTGCAAACTTTAGCCAATGGCAGCACGGGGCACCATTCAAGTCAGAATCCGCTTTTGGATAAAAGTAACCAAGATGTGATGAGGGAAACCCATAAACCAAAAAAATTGGGGGGTTAACCTACTTTTCGATTCCATCAAACAACGCTTCCGAAGTGTTATCACCACTGATCGTATTAAGTCCGCGCTGTGCAATAAAGTTTGGATCATTAAATAGCCGTACCAAGTAAAACAAATCCTGTAAAATATTTGGGGACTTAAACTTACCAAAGTCAGTAGCAAGCTTGGATTCTTCTGAAGAAAATACTTCTCAATCTAAAGGTCAAAAGTGTAGAATCCAAGATTAAATAAATCATTTTGTCTGCTCACGACACCTAGGATGTATTTGGATCACCTAAATTGCTAGCTGCATCAATAAGCGGTTAAAATCTATTCAATGAAAACAGTACACAAAACAGTGATCCGAATATTTACGTCTTGAGTGTAGTGCGCTTCATCCACGCCATATCTCGTTATTACGTCATTCAAGGACGGAATTTCTCCCATGAACACGGATTCATCTTCCGATGCTTGTGGAACAAATAAGATAGAGCGTTGAGAGGCGATTTCAATAGCGCCATACCAGTATGGTTCTTGGCCTCCAAATGTCCAGTGAAAATACGACTCCTTTAGGGTACGTTATAATAAAATCAAAATGAGCATATTATTACCTGACGGAAGACATACTCCACATCAGATCCTCCATGAAATGCCAAGGAACCACCCTGAAGGAGGACATAAACTCCATTCAGAGTCTTTGTTGGAGCCACACCAGCTGACCAAAGTTCTTGGAGTCGCTGGCAAAGCCTTGAGCGATTTATTCTATGAAGTTCCATTGGAACTTCCAGACCATTTTCACCAAGTTTGTATACTGGTTCCATTTTTGGAAAGAGTAAATTCCGTAACACACCTATGTATGATGGCAAAGCATTTAGCTTTAATAAAAAATAGTTAAATTTCAGGGGTATTTACCTAGGATAAAAATTCATGCTGACAAAGACGGCGTAAAAGTTTATAACATAGACCAGAGAGGTAAGAAAGTTAGGGGGAATTTTTCCCAAAAATAGTAAAAACGAACAAAAAATAGCAGTCTTCAGAAACAAAACAACAAATACTGTGCAAAGAGAAAACAAAAGGGGAAATAATTCTGTCTAGTTTGTAAAGACGATGAACGCTAGAACCGCTATAAATATGTGCGGAACAAATGACTTTTGAGCAAAAACCCCTAAACGTGATCAAAAAATTAACAAGGAGTTGCAGACAGAAGTTAATGCAAATGCCTCTATGACAACGACTAAGAGCCATAGACAAGATGTTTGTTGCCGCCTCCTAAAAGTCTGAAGTGAGCTCGTTACGCATCAACAAGTCGTTTAAGGCCGTTCAGTTGCAATCAAATAAATGAAAACAAACACTCCAAAATTAAAAATAAAAAAGTGTAGGAAAAAAATTAAGCACTACACAAAAAATTTGTATGTTTTGCCTAAAATAAACAAAAAATAAATGAAAATTAAATCTTGGTTTCCTAAATCGATCGTTTAATAATAAATTATCTCCCTCTTCTAGTTTTGCAAAATACAGAAATGATTTCGCAACGTTATTTTTTACCCTAACACTGCGTACTTTGTGCATAGACGTCAATATGTTTAGCTGTTGCAAGTCTGTCACTTTGTGATAAATGCAGAAACAAGGTAGTTGAACGCCTGAATTTACTCTCATTTATTTTTGTAAGTTTAGTTTTTGAGTTAAATTTTGTCTTTAGTAGTAAAACATGTTTCGGTATTTCTTATTTCTGCGAGCCTTATGTAACGTCCTGAGACTTCCCTGAATTCGAAATAAGACAGTACTGGGGCAGAATTTGTACATTTGAAAGAGTGGGCATTTGGCCTGCTGGCGGTGCTCAGATGCCTGCTCAATCAGCGTGGTACAATGGTCATGATAAAAGTGGCTCCTTGCCATAACCGAGAGATAAACAATAGTTGTATTAAACTTACATTAGGCAACCAATTTTCGAGGATTAGTTCGCTGGTTCCTCACTAGTCGGCAAACATTTTCTGCAGCCGAACGGAATCATAAATGACGTTGAATTAATCAAGTTCATCGAAATATGTATCAACCCCTTTTAAAGCTCACATCTTTAAGGCGCTGTCTTCGACACCTTCCGTAAATACCCGTCTTCTTCTTCCATCCTAACTCTTGCTTCAGTAAACTCCAATTGACAGCACGACGGGGTAGAAATTGGGATGGTGACCTCATCAAATGAATAATTTTGCATATTTGTGACTATGACTCTTATGGGTTTGGTCGAAGTTTCCGGACGAAGTGTTATTTACAAGCCAAATCGTATCGGAGACGTGTGAATTTAAAGTGGGCTGCCAGCAGTTACACGGTGTTTTAAAGGAAAATAAAATTTGCATGGTCATCCCTTTTTGCGGTTGCTTCAGTCGAAATGAAACATTGGGCAAAAAAGTATCCCGCTTCCGGACAATGGCATGAGTTGGCTCGTTTGACGTCATACTGAGCCCTTCCTTGAGGTTGCTTCTAGTTAAGTTCGTCTAGTAATTTATAAGTGCGATGCAAATCAAAGGATTTGTCAAAAGCGGGCATTTTAATCGAATTTTATGTAAGAGGTCTTTAGCACTCCGCAGTTGAGAGCTTCCTTCCAGCCAACGAAACCCTCACTGTTCTTCCCTGTCGTCAGGTCTCATCACCGATTTGACCGGCGGGATTACCGAAGTCACTTTTTAAATACTAGCATGGAAAATGCTCTCTTACTAGGGTGCAGAATAGCTGGAAGGCTGCTGACATAATCGAAGGTCCGCGACAATAGCTGGTTCCGTCTCGCTAACTCTTTTTTCTCCGGAATCCGAATCCTATCAAATCATATCAATTTATAAGCAACTATTATTCTTTTCTGACATGTCGTATAAATCTGAAGTAAAAGCCTCGAACAGGGGATGCACGTACCATGGCATCTACTCGTTTCCAGTATCCTTAGAATGGGTCCCTCTAGCATAATTTTTTGGTTGGATGGGTAATGGACCGTGTTCCCTCTTTCCCAACAATCTAGCAAACTCATTATTTATTCATCCATGTGCATACTTTACACATTTTCAAGTACCAAGTTCACTGATTCGGTGGGGGAATCATTGGATCTGCTAAAAGCTTGAAAAGGCTAGCAATGATTCCCAGAACTCAGAAAATGCAGGCGACGAAGGCGCAACGACTTAGTCCCCCAATGGAGAGGATATTAGTCACCAGCTTCCCCTTAATCGCAGGAAAGTGGAGTGTCTCAGTCGAAATAGACACGAATTAGTGGATAGGGAGAATGAGCTAAACGCGATAGCGTGTTTTCTATACTACAGAGATAATCTCGACTACTCACAAGTGGAAGACCAATTGGCAGATGCAAACAGAATATCGGACAAAAAGCTAAGTAGGAGCAAGTCTTATAATAGGACCGAGAGGTATGTCCATCACATTTACCTCCTGTGTTTTATCTGGGCTGCAAGCTCCGGAGTTGGAGTAAAATTCTCAGGCGACGTCGACCCAAGATTCATAATCCACGTGTGATCCTCAGGGGTTATTGTTTCCATGCATTGCCTCTATTCTAGCTCATTTTGATAACAAAGCTCCGGCATACTTAATTCATCCTCCAGACCTTCCATCAAATCAGGTCAGTAGTCTAATCCCGCCCCCCCCCTTCCTCCCGGATGAGGAATCTCAGATGTGTTCGCCAAAATGTGGGATTAGCAAGGACATTGGTCTTGCCCTTGTGGGGAGGAATTCACCTCTGGATTCCCGCCAAATATTCCTTTGCTCGAAGGGTGACTAATTTCACCGCTGTATTCCCACTTGTGATGGGGGAGGTTGGGTGCCGCTACGTGTGGAGTTAGAGGAGAATTTCTGCATGAAGTTGGATTACTCAAGCGAATTACAGTAAACGAGAGGCGAAGAAAGGCATACTGTTAGCCTACAGAAAAACAGAGAGGATTCTGACCCGTTCTAGGCACAAAATCACCGATTGGAAATACAGCCTACGGGGGTTCAGTATTCTGCCAAATAATAGCTACATCACCACACTTTGGTACCACAATTTCAAAGGTATTCACGATAAAGACTTAGGATCTACTCATTCAATCATCAGGCCCAGGAATGGCATAATTTATGTCCGATTCAGGAAGCGCTTATTTTTGCTGCAGTGTCTTGTGTACTAGTCAGTAGACGGAGAGAGTTTTCGCGATCACCGACGTACAAACGTGTATAGCTAAGGCAATTCAGCTTGAAGAGCTATGATGACGCCTTTGAGGTGACGGGCGATCAGATCACACGGCGTCGCCATCGTCGATTCCCGAGCAGGAGTTCAACACGGATACCTACCGCCTCAAAAACCTCAATTGTGAAACCCTCACAACACAAGACGTCTTTCTCTGCTCAATCTTCTAGAATGTGAGATATCCCCCTAGTTCCATTACCAAAACAAAAAAAAAAACGACAAAAAGCATCCCTATTTAAATAAACACTTGTTCTACATGCATATCTGATGGTGCTGAATTCGGCTTTGCCATAGTAACCACAAATTTAAACAAACCAGATGGATAACATCCTTCCCTGTCCAGACGGGAACCGCTGCTGACAACACGGGATATCCACTCATAGCGCAATGGCGGTTCTGTATACCTTGCCATGTACCTCGGTGACTCCATGGTTGTGGACGACAAAGGGGAGGCGAAGCAGCCCTTATCGAAGGCGAATTTGAAAGCTGCATTACGTAAAGTAACCATGGGAGCGGAAGCAATCTCCGCCTCGTTCAACTCCACCTTTCCATCCGCCTGTGCCATGACGACTGACACGAGGCGTAAGAGACTGGAGGTAGAAATAACCACACGGCAGGGCGTAACACGCGCGCCTGCTTTTGCGTCACGCCAGACCCTCTACACACCTCAGAGTCCTGTAGGTGGATACAAATCTTGCGCGATTGGCGGTGGACCAATCGGAGGAGGTACAAGACCTTATCAAGGCCAAATTCGAGAGGGTGCACAATTCAAGGCCATTAATTCCATCAGAGGATCGCCTCATTTTCAACTGACATGCAACAACACTTCAGAGACAATAATTATAAAATAGACCGATATTCACGCCTTTTTAGCAGATGTATGGGGAATTCGACAGTTCTGAATGAAAAAGCAGCCTACCAGACACATTTAAAGACGAACTAGCCATTTATTTGACACAATTCTCCAAGCCTACAGCTGCGTACCTGTTTCAAGCCTTACGCAGTGCTTGAAGAGCCTTGATGTGGAAGAATTAGTCGGTAAGATTTAATCCACCTAGCGCAATAACCTCTGAAAATCACCGGTTTCTATGTTACACGACGGCGGCACGCATTCCACGATGAATGTCCATGGGGGTGGCTGAGAGCCTCCACATTCACGAGTGTCAATGGCAGACGCAATTGTGGTGATCATTAAACGTTGACAGTGCACTCAAATGACTTACCAATGAGCGGCTGCATGTCATTAAACGGCTTGTGGCAGAGGATTGACGGAATTGTTCACTTGCCAAACCATAAACACTGAGAAGTCGGCAATGGCGGGACTCAAAGGAAAAGACTAACAACAAGTGGCTCTTTCAATGAGTGAAGAGCCTCCCAGGAAGCCTGCCGCTGTTGTTTCATCTTTATGATGGAGGCTGCATACAGTCTTCTGGTTTTTAAGAAAGCCGAGTACGACTAATAGAGCTTACAACGGATGCGATTTCAGACCACTGGACCCTCGGAATGACCACAAGCACAAGCAGGACTGCCACACTCCTTGCCAAAGTCACTCCAGCTCAAGGTCTCTGTCAGAGTTTCTCAATCCCACTTATCCACATTTGTCTTTCAATTCGTACCTTGAAGCAATTTCGCTAAGATGGTTACCTCGGGTGTGAGATTAACTTCACAAAAACAACTAAAAAATGTAGACACCCCGATCAACGAACTTCCAAGACGTCAAAACTCAAAACAGAAAAAGCACTGGCTGAGGTTATCAAAAACAAGTTTATCTATACTTCACAAAATCCACTTTACATCTCAACCCTCAACGCCGCTATGTTTGTGTCAATTTTCGTTCTAAAACACAAAAACCAGGAGGGGGATGGGCAACGGTTTTCCAAATACTAACGCACTGGAAGGGCATATTTTGAACTCACTTTTGGCCTTCTGCATAAGATAGTTGTAAGCGGGGTGTTTGCGTGAAATTTTCTTCGTTTTCTTTTTCCCCTTTCCCGGTTTCGACACCTTCACCTCCTTTTCCACGGCAGATGCCTCCTCCTCCTCATTGTTCTCTTCTTCCTCATCGCTCAACTGATGCATTAACAGCTTGTCATTGGCATCATCATCATCGTTGTCACCACTTCCATAATTGCCTTCCTCCTCCGCATCAGACTCCATGGGGGCAGCCGAAGAAGTAGCGGAGGCAGCTTCCACATTCGCGCGACGTCGTTTCGCCTGTTCCTCTCGTCGCTGCACCTTCGCCGCCACTTTCGCCCGAGCCTCTGCCTCCTGTTGGGCAATCTCCTGCGGCGTGCGCTTCTGCCAACTGTGATAGAGCACAGCACCCGAATTCACGCCCTCCTCGATCTATGTGAACACCCCAAAAACAGGTCTGAAGAATAATGTCTACTTAAAATATTTAAGTAGGCGTTGGTAGTGCGCGTCACCTTGATAAGTTGGAGGGTGAGACGAGGACCAATCTCAGTGAGTCGAACGCATGCCTTGTGACAACCGCTAAGGTGTGTGAAGCCATGTGCAGCCTTGGCTTGGGCCCGCGCCTCTTTGACCTCCTTGGAACTTATCGTGCCACCTATGGAGGGCTTCTTCGCCTCTTCCCCACTCACGCCAACTGCCGCTGATTGACCCGGCAGCGTGATCTCCGCCATATCCTCCAGTTCTGAGGCAGCCGATTCCGTCAGTAGATTCGCCCTGATAAGAAGGCGATGAGAATGGAATAGAGTCGTTTGTAAAGAATATATCGAAGCACTATAAGCGCGGGCGACTTAAAATAATTTTATTAAAAAAAGGTTAAGGAAAAGCAAAATATGCAGAACTAGCGCTCACATGCGCCTTTTGTTGGCTACGAACATACTTTTATGAAATGGAAAAGTGGAACTTACTTTGCGAGGTAGTCATCCATGCTAGCGTAGTTGGCGAGGTTGGGAACACCAGAGCACTTGCCAAAGCCCCGTGGGCCCAGACCAGCAGCACCAATACGATCGCGTCGACGTCGTAGCGGCGCTCCACCCATGCCGAGACGTCGCAGAGCACGACTTATCGATCGGTTCTCCAGGCGGATGTTGTAGTGGCGCAGGTAGATCACCTCCCTTTCTTCGCCACCATCACCATCACTACAACTGTCAACCTCGCGACTTAACAGCAGTACTCGACGTACACTGCTCACTTTCAGCTAAAAGACGAAGAATTATGCAATTGATCAGGTAATCAAACGCCACAGTAAACTTACCTTCTGAATATTAAGTGAGGGCAGCATGTTTTGGAACATGTCGACAAGAAGACGAAGATGTGGTGGAGGCCGAGCAGATGTCGTGCCTCCCGAACCAAAGCCTGTCATCGCAAGAAGTGGAGGGGAGGAGAATTGCCGCACATCGAAGATCTTCTGCACCAGGGTGACGACATCACGAGTGAGACAGTACTCCGACACACGGAATGTCAAACTTGGACCACTGGGTGCACGAATCAGGTGAAGATAGACGCCTCCAATACCATTGCTGCCGCTCGATTTGTTAGTCTCCTCCTCGTCGTCTTCTGCGTTCTTCAGCGTCACTCGCTTTCGGCGTTCTAAATTTGCCGCGTGCCGAATTCGCTTCGCTGTGATTTTCTCCGATCGGGGATGAGTGAAGTAGAGGATATGCGAGACGTGGAGGGGCCCGGCGATGTTGATAAAGTCTTTTAATACATTACGTCGACTGATGCGGAGTTGGGAGGCTGTGAAGGGTTCGAACACTCGACGCACGTCCAAGGAAAGCGTCTTGACAAGCGAACCACAGCCAGGGCGAGCAAAGACGAAGCTGTGAGGGGCGCGCGCCAATTTTCGTTCCTGTGCTGCAGCTGCAGCAAGTGTGGAGCGCGGTTTTCGATGACGGTGGCGGCCATGACGACGGTGCTTCTGTCTTGCCGAGGACATTTCTACTGGAAATCGACATTTAGGTCAGATAGAATGGATCTAGTAGGCATTTGTGCTTGACTTGTCCGAAGCCCAGTAAAATAGAAACAACAGAACACAAAGGGGCGCGTAGTACCGCCCATTGGGAAAATTTACTTGTATTGAGACGGGAACTTCCAACTGGATTTCTCAAAGGATTCCCAGTTGGAACTATCGGCTTCCCGGCATTTCCGTAGGAAAGCGGAACGCCATGGATATGACACAAAGTGGAAAATTAACACATACCCATAACAAATCACAAAAGAACTTGCAAGCTAATTTACCCACTTTACTATAACACCCATACATATGGATATCCACGAGGGTACGTTGATAAGGCAACGCGCTGAAAATGAATTATTGGCAACTTGGTGTTAAAAATTTCGAACAGAGGGAGCGAGGAAGGGGGAGGAGGGGAGAAGGAGAAAAAGAAAAGAGAAGGAAGGAAAGCACGGCGCCACTGGATTGGCTGGCTTTAACTGTGTGCCAATTCCGTGTGTTCACGCATGCCGGAGCGGCGACACACCTACAATTAAACAATCAACCATTTCACTACGCGTTAAGCACCAAAAAGCTCCAAATGGTGGGTAAAAGTCTACAAAGTGTGCCTGGACGAAAGACAAACCTGACCACAAACGGAGCAGACCTGTAGGGCAGCAACAACACCCTTGGCCCAGACGGGCGGATTGTTGCCACGACAACGTGAGGGAGTGGAAACATGGGGCACCCGAGGTGCGGCCTCACCCTTCATCGCACGAAAGAGGGCGCGTTGGAGTCCCACGTCAGGCAGGAGGGCGATCATCGAACTAAGCCAATCGGTTTGCAACAGCTCGCCCTTGCACGTCAACAGGCTCTCCAGGGCCTATGAACGAGCATACGGGATTAACTACTTGTGGAGCACAGGTAGCAAGCAATAGCAGTGGAGACGAGCCTGCTGGAGGAGGAGGCACCGAGCACCACTGTTAACTTATGAGCAGCAAACCTCTAAGTAGGAATGGGCGGAAAGCTGTCCATGTCGAAAGAGACGGGAGAGAGTAGCAAATCGGTTAAAGGCGTTTTTGGAATAGCCTTCACCACTCAAAACCGTCTCGGCTATTGTTATCACTTCTCGATTTTTGGCCTCGTAGTCCAGCGGCGGCGTGTAGATATTCTACAGAGTGGATAAAACGACGCAATAAAATGAACGACACCGACAACGATCTCAGTATCTTCGGATGGCAAATTACCTTCTCGTATAGAACTGTCTCGGTGTCCTCTAGGTCGGGTAAACTTTTTATTTCCTCAGACGATGCCTGATTTTGATTAACATTGACGTCCTTTTTCTTCGAATTTGTTGAAGTTGCTTGTGGTAGCTGTGGATCTGGAGTTGATTTCCTCCGTTCCTTTTTCAATTCAGGTGGTTTCTTTGAGGTGGTGGGGAAAGCATTCTTCTTCGACGGTTTCACATCCCCTCCAAGACTGGGAAAATCTTGGGGCGAAAAATTTGGAGGAGGAGGTATTACGGATGTCGACGCGGTGTCGATAGGGTCAAAGTGATCCACGGTTTGAACCCGCGAGTATATTGGTTCAGCCATTCTACCGCCCGCACCGTCCTCTCCCTTAACCATTCGTGACACCGCGCCCTACCAGGATAAGAAAGGAAGACAATAAAGGGGATTCCAGACGCACCAACCCATTTGATTCCAATGATTCTGCCTAGAACACTACCGTGGCTGTATCATATGCAGTGCTAGATGACAAGTGGGTCCTAATAGCTTTATCGATACTGTAGACCAGACTAGTCCAGTCCAGTCCAGACACCTTTACCATGATGGCAGTCATCCGAAGTAGTGTGCGCGTGTGAGTTGGGTGCATACATGACGAACCAAATGTCTTGCCAACCACGGGACCGAACTCAAACCCGTGGATACCTACTTGTATACACACACGACTTTAAGCACAGTTCAAAAATGACGGAACGTCCAGCCACCCAGCGGCTTGTGGCAATTGTGGCCGTGGAGGTTCTCCAGCCCGCAGCATTCGATCATTCCTGTAAACGTTTAGAGCGTCGAACGCCATATGGCACAAAAGAAGAAAATTACTATGGGAACAATGACCACGAAGCAATCATTTACGAACGTTTGCTATTTCGACACTTCACTACACAACGGGTACAGGGACAATTTTCCACGTGACAACTTGAATGACTCTGCTGGTAGATAACGCTCCCACTTCCTATCATCCAGCCTTCGTTCCGATTAAAATCCACTTATGAGGTAGCAAAAATGGTACTTCAGAAGTAGACATTCGAGCATCAGAGACGAAGTGAAACAGTCTGTCCCACAATGATTCAAACATACTACAATAACAGATACGGCTTCAAATTCATGACACTTCAATGCTTCTTGTAAGCTTTAGAATCCCACTTTAACAAACCTGACATCGAAAACACTTGAGGAAATAAAATTATCTACTAGCCGAAGGAGTACAGATGGAGCAGTAGATGCCAATCACACCCTGAACAACTTTTGATAGACACAAAAGCAACTCACATCGTTATCGGCGTTATTCCACCAAGAACTCTTTTTCGCCTTGAGCAAAACCGACGAGAAGGGTTCCAAATCGGGAGCTGGAGGGAGAGAAGGCTCCACAGCCTTCGATTTCACCTTCTTATTCTTTGTCTTTTCCGCTTGCTTAGACGTTGATGGTACGCAGGAAGGGAGGCAAGATTCGGGCAGAGCACGCTGACTGGTAGAGGAAGTGGAAGCAGTGGGTGATAGAGGTGGGAAATCATCCGCGATTGGTTGACGTCTAGCATCCTTCGGTTTGGGTGTGACCTTGATTTGTGCTGGAGCCCAATTTCCTGGTGAGATATGATTGGCAGAGGTGGAGGAGCCAACCAGACTGGGGAAATCGTCGACGTTAGGAACCGATTTTGAGGCTATCTTTTGACCGTCCGATTTAGAAGATACAGCTGCAGATGCACTCCTTTTAGTATCCACCCACTTTGGTTGGGACGCTATTTAAGGGGATGGAATAAGACATCTAGTGTAACAGTGACGAAACGGTTTACATCCGAGTGTAAGAAACATTTTTCTCACAATTCCTCCTAAATTGTGCGTCACAGCATTCTGCCCTTCTTCAAAGCCAGGATGTCTTAGAAGACTCTTAAATTGGTAGATTTTACTGCAGGTAGTACAGTTAAAGTCATAAATAACTGATTTTAATCTAAATAGCAAGTCATCGCTGATAACAGGCAGGACACGTGCTGCCACCATGTGCAAATGTCACATGAAGGTAACAACATGTGAGCGTGAAGCCCTGCTTGTTTCCTCTCCAAATAAAGAGCATTACACTCCAAGAGACCAGTTGCTTGATCGTTCAAAAGTAAAGGGCACCAAATTTCAGACTTCACTGCAAAAGCAAAAGAAAAAATTAAACACCATTTCTACAAATGCAACTATGATATAAAAAAGAAGCGACACTTTCGAAAGGTGAGTTGGGTAGATTCAGCACTCATGTATCAGCTCCTCTGAAATCTACACGTCGCACGGCCGTTTACGGAAAGCAACAGCCAAGGCTGTTGGCCGGGAGCCACTACAGCCGACCAACATTAACTGCCGTCTTGATTGGACCGGCCCCGCGGTACGTACGAGAGCTGCTAGTTTGCAAGTGTTAGAACACATTTTCCACTTACTTTTGCCTGCTTTACCAGCAGCATGATTCAGATTGAATTGAACAACCCCTGTACATCATTGGCTCGAGCATCTTATGTCCATCGTACACAGGTCATAATGTGGCACTATTTTACTCTAATGCAATTTCTCAACCATTCACATCCCATCAGGCGAGCCATCATAAAGTAATGTCAGGTATGACTTTCACCATTGTCAATATAGTCGCAATAGTGCTGCAGGACTTCAAGTACCACCTACACAATCATTGAAATTCATTCAGTCTTCCCCTCTGCATCCAAACTCCCAGCACTTTCTAGTAAGGTTATCAAGATGGCCAAAGCGGCCCCATGGTGTGCCCCAAATACTGCCAAATTTGTAGACTGCTAAATCGAGAGCTAATGATTCAAAACATCAAATAAAAAGGAGAAAGAAGTCGACCCACGTGGCTGATTTGCTGACGTATTGCCAGAGGACGATGAAGGGAGGGAAGGAAAGTCGTTGAGATTGTGCGAATTAGCGTAGCTGCCTCCGCCTCTCCCGCTCACCACCTCAGCGTGCGATCGAGTCTGCCTTCCCGCCACCGCCGAGGTCGTCCGCTGAGTCTCTGTACTTGCTTCGTTACCTGCGTCGTTGTTGTTCGCCGCCCTCTCGCCTGTGAGCGAAGGGAAGTCCGTGACCGTCCACTCCTCTGGCATTGGGGCCCGCGGCTGTGCGGGGTAAAACACCACCAGACCATCTGCTATGCAACAGAAAAGCATGCAGGACATGAACAGGAAGCAGCTAGCTTTGAGTAGGCTTCTATGCTTCACCTCTTCACCTAGTACAATACAAGAGCTTGACGTTTGAAATGAAGGTAGTCAATAGGTTCGCCTCCAGGGTCGCATACATGACACCTTAGTTTTCCTAGCCACGCACAGAAGCAATACCCATTTGGTTACCACAGATTTGGACTGCCATCCTCCTGATATGGTCTTCCGTCGAAGGTCAGAGGCCTCAAAATGTTTTGTACGCAAGTAACAGATCATTTTTCATGCTTGTACAGTACAACTACTCCCCATTTATTGCGAATAAAACCGTACCGGAAAGTCCAGAATACTCAACTTTTGTCCCATCAGTAAGGAATTTTTTAACCATTTCAGTCAGCCACGGGGGGCTCCCGTACATGTCGGCAGCATCTGATGCATGACAACGGTATCCGAGAGGCTTGACTACTTCGCGTAAAGACTACCACACGAGAAAGATCTATCAACATGGCAGTGATTCGATTCCCTAAATGACGACGCTTGTAAAACCACAATGGTGAACGATGAGCAGCAGTACGATCATACGACTGACCCAGGTGCGATCTACGTCGCCAATGTGATTGAAGAGGCTTTGATAACTACATAACGGAGCACAAATGCGCACAGAAACAGTGGAATGTACACGGCGAAGCCAAAGCACTAATATTATTTGGCATAAAATGTCTGATTTTGTAAAAAACGGGATTCATTCCGGAATGTCATGAAAGAATAGGAAATACTACAAGCGGGGAACAGCTAAGAGGCAGTTGGTTCGAGTGTTCAAGAAATCAATGACGCTAAAGACTATGAACAAGTTTTGACAGGTGAAACTCTTCTTACTTGAGATTACTAGTATAAAGTGGACATTTGGAAGGCGACACGCAGGTAAAAACTATGGCAATGAGTAAAGAAACCTCAAGTCTTTTAGCTGTTTGGGGGTAGATGAATAGTTGAAAACAATGTAAGAATGCCACCATGAGGGACCAATCAGCGAAGAAAACTAAGGAGCTTTCATGCAATAATCTATCTTGATAATGACCCCAAATTACTGATATTTGCTGTACAAAAAGTGGATCGTATCTTAAAGTGATTTGGTTATCATACAAGAGCCAGTATCCAGAAAGTCTATGTGAAAACAGCCGCGTTGACAAGTACAGATGACGAGTGGACATTCGGTACAATAAAAGAGACCCAAAAGGCTCACTCTTCAAGGCCGGCTATAAAGATGCACAAGAACTTTTACAGATTAGACGTTTAAGAACGAAATTTTACACCACTCCTAATGCGCACGTATGCTTGTAGAGGTTTTGCGACTAAGATATCGGTGGAAGAATAGATAAACAACAGATGATCGAAAGAATGCGGACCAAGAGTTAAAAGAAAATAATTTCAGGAGGAAAAACAACACCAGATGAAGAGCATTTAGAATGAGAACCAATAACCCCGAAAAAGGGAGTTTATATTACTACTTAAGAGAATAGCCACTAGCAATCAGGTAACATTACTGTGCGAATAGATCTAGTGAAAAAAGGGTTCATGTAAATTCGTAAAATGAATGAACAGACGAGGCCGCACACCTAGTGCAGTCGTGGAATATCTCAACGAATAGAAGCCCATGATAGGGCAAAATCCACTCTTTTCTCAGAATCCTAAGTCTAGTAAGCCCGCATGATAAAATCACAATGGCAAAGGCTTCGAAAGACAGGCTTAATAGCCTAAACAATACTGGAAAATTGAGAAATTAATGAGGCCTATTTGATCAAGTTCGTAAATACTGTAATAACATAACAACGTAGAGCAAAAAGACAGCTTGTACACAAAGTGACAAGACGAAATAGGCCTAGTTCCAGGCGTTTATGAGGAAACATTCGAACAATGAAAACGCTTCCATTTGAAGGTGAATTCTCTGTAGCCACTCCAGACTGATATGAAAGATAGAGAGCCGATAGGGGACTAATTACCTTCACCACCATCTTCGTTAGGAGCGTTTAGGCCACGGCGTCCACTGTTGCGATCACGAGTATGCTGACCAATGAGTCCTTGGTTGGAGTAGAGGATCTGCAAAGGCTCCCAAAGGGACGGGTCATTCCTTGACTCGTTAGGGTGCTCACGCATCCTATGGATGCCCAACTGCTCCTCTGACACGAAACATGCCATTCTACCGGCCGATTCGCACTCGGGGCAGACGAAATGCATTTCTTTGTAGTGGGAAAACAATTCTTGCTGGCGTCTGTTAATAAGTTAAAATGGCTTTGAAACGTTTTGAACTTACCGAAAAACCTCAAACACACCAGCAGTATGGCAGAAATCGCAAATGAAATGAGCTTCCCTTATGTGCACTACAAGATTTTCAAACTCGTAGAATGTCTGAGCACAAAATTTGCAAACTGGATGACCTCGCTTCTTCACACTGTCCCATCTCCGATGGGCAGCAAGATCCTTACTGGATAAGGGCACAAATTCCGAAGGAAGCATCTGAAGTCAGAAGCACAATCAGACGGAATAATGAGGAACGTACATGTGCATGACGAAGGCAGAGATCGCAAAAGGAAAGGCGATGTTCATTTGTAGTGTGCCGATTAAGGGCCGACATGTTAGATGCCGTGAAACCACATATCGAGCAAACACAGGCCATTAATTTCTTATAGAATCCCAGGACCTTATCATTTTCGAACTGGAAGTCTAATTCAGCTTCCGAAGTCAACGAACTCATATCAACGGAATCGAACGGCTCAAATGCAGTCATAATAATTATCTAAGGATATGTTTGTAGGAAGAAGAGTGAACTACTTTGGGGATACGAGTTCTGCATGTAGGGCAATTTGAATAATTAGGGTCATCTGAATTGCCAAAGCGCCTTAATTTTACAGCACAACGAAGACACGTAGGATGATCACACTTCCCATAGGAATAGTAATCTATCTCATCTCGACAAATAGGGCAGATACCAGAATCCATTGCAAAGCCAGGGACAAAAAACACTCGCCACTTTTTTAAAATAGCGCTAGGCGAGACAAACGCACTAAACATTAAGGGACAAAAAGCATAGTATTTTTGATTAAGTAACGTACTTTGTTCAAAATCAAAAAATCAAACGAATTTTACTGCAGAATTTAAGTTTAGTCCTTGCAGCAATCGCAGATACACAGTTTATGGTACTGGACGAAAAAAATTTATACCAGGTTAAAAAAATTTCGACCTAATCACTTTTACTATAACTCTTGAGTACTGCAAGTGCCTTGATTAGAAATATTTCTTGTCATCAACCTTTCTGCTTTTGTCAAATTTTATAAATATTTATCTAGGTTTATAATAAAATTAGGTCCAAAAAGCAACTTTCGACTTCGCATTAATTTCATCTATCCCGTCTAAATCAAGGATAACTATTAGGCCAATTATCAGTTGCCTCGGGATTCAGAGTAGCTTCTGGTGTGGAGTCGTAGACGCGATATAGTAGAAGAGGCGAGGCTCCGCGCTGGGTTCGAAATATACATTGACACTGTCCGTTTCCTTCATTTAGCTCTCTTAGTTCCTTTTTTAACTTTCAAATGGTGTCCTGGCCACAAGTGTATCTCGTCTGCAAACTGCAGAAAGACTAGAACACAAGTTGATTTAGCGCAGTGCATTGGAGGAATGGGGTCAAAGAAATCCATACGTCGTGATGCGATGAAGTCTAAAAATAAAAAACCTTTTTTGTACGTTTTTTCTTCTACGTGCCTGTATATTTTGCTAAAATACTACTCATTGAAGTCAAATGCTTTTCCGACCTGTTGGTTGCTTAATGACTGGCTTATTTTTTAAAGCACAGTAGCTATGCTGTCCCTGTATTTCTCGAATTACCTAGCATTACATAGTGGTTTTCAGAAGAAGGAAGGAATATTACTTAAAAACGACTCCGACTTTAAAAATCTGGTGAATGTAATGTTTAGCACGCGAGCGTTACTCTTACAGCTTCGATTGCGTAGTGGTAGCTGATGAGGGTGGTTGACAAAGGGAAGCGTAAGAAAGTATGTCGCTGCATTTTGTTACCCGTTTTTCATCGCAGGCCATTCAATGGCCTTGCAGTTTTTCACGAAATCCACAAAATGAGGCGTAACAATACGCCAAATGAAAGGTGTTTCAGTAATTGGACATAGTATTATAGCCTTCAAAAAGCTGATGCTTCTTTTAGTCCTGTTCATCAAGGCCTTTAACAAACAACAAGCACACACAACCTATTCCCACTTCTAAAATGTAATTAAAACATAATCCTTTAATGCTCATAGCAGCAATTCGAGGAAGATTATTGGTATCTGTGCTCTGGATAATAATTCCTGTTTGTATAATGACGACCAAACAGAAGCAAATCTTTTTTTTTAACTTGCGCCCTTTTTGTACTATTATAATAATATTAAAAGTTCTTATAAACTAATGCAAAGGTAATTTGTGAGCCAATAGCCATTTAGTGCGAAATTCAGAGCTGCTCCTGTTTGGTGCGCGTGCGCGAAATGGCGGAGATGGCGGTAGTAAAGTCGTCCGTTGACTTCAAAACCTATCGGTACTTTTTATTTCCCTTAATTTAATTTCCCTACAGCTTTATACAACTGCCGAATGGTCTGCGGGCAATGCTTATATCTAGCCTTAAGCCTGGGGAGACGGCGGAATCAGAGACAGACTCAGAGAGTGATACCTCGGAGGAATGCGAAAAAAAAGAGCCCATTCATCGTGATGGCGAGAAGTCCAAAAGTGCTGTGCGAAGGGTTTGCTTACCTGATTCTTTTCTTGACGTGCCTCTGTAGTCTGCTGCCGCACTATGTATTAAAGCCGGGTGTTTTTCTGACCCAATAGAAGCTCAGGGATTGGCTCATTTTTTGGAGCACAGTAATTATACTCCCTTCGTATTTACCGAATAACCTAATATCATATAGTGGTTTTTATGGGGAGTGAAAAGTATCCTCGGGAAAATGACTTTGACGACTATGTCT